GATCACGATTATGAGCATCAATCGCAAGCACCGTGGGGTTGAGTTGCTGCAATTGATTCACTATCATAGACATATGATTCTGGGAATCAGCCAACCTTGCTTCCACCCTTAATAATTGCGCTTGATTTTCATCGAGGCGAGAATCAATACGCTGCTGCAAGGTTGAGAATTCCTTGGTGAAATCTTGAACTAGCATCATGATTCATGAAGATGGTGGTGTTCAACAATGAAAGCACCAATGTTACAGATTCATAAATCTGTAAAGGATAAAAGAGAGAAACTAAAGAAACTAACACAACAACTTCATTATCAGATACCTTTCTACACTGCCATTGCACTTTATACACACATTACCCTATCTACATTCAAGCATAACTACTCAATACATTCAAGCGTAACAGATTGGTAACTACTCTTCACTATACAAGCCCAAAGCATAGCTGGCATAACAACCTTCTAACAACCTTTTAATTCCCTAATCGTTATGCCTAACATTTCGGTAAGTGCATTAGCCGTACAAGTAATAAAATATGAGTAAAAGATTGATCCAACGAGAATTAAATTTAAATCACTAATTCGCTATTTACGCACTTAAGTTCGACAATCGATCAAGAGAATTGTATGAAAATTAAACTAAATAACAAAATAAGAAGATAAACTTTAGATTACTTGTCAATTAAGAAACGCAGTTAGGGATTCAACTTCCCTAAATTTTCTCTTTATGTTTTGAATTAAAAATTAATTAATCGCCCTTTTATATTGCCCATTAATTCCCCTAAATTAGTTAAAACTCAATCACGTAGCATTCTAACCCTTTACTCCCTTAAGAGAATCCTAATTCCTTGGTGTTTCTCAAAAGGGTTTAAGCATTAATTAATATCAAGAATCATAAAAATGGCACAATTCATATGTCTATTACTAGAGTCATACAAATTAATGATGTATAAGTCAAACCAAATTCATATACCAACATCCATATTGTCATATATAAATCCTAATTCAATCTACAAGAACAACTCATAGAAGGCACTATCCAAAGACACATTTATTCAATAATTCAGCAATATAAAGATTCAATTGGGTTCAATCTAGCCCTATTACAAAGAAAATCTAGCCTAACATGTTGAAATCAAGAATACAAGAAAGCTTTCTCAAACTCCATTGATGTGATGGCGTGATGGATCTTCAAGGTTTCTAGCATAATCCTGACTCCAACCCATCTCCGGCTCTCAAAAGCATGAAAGACTCGCTCCTCGGATGAAAACTACGCCTCCGGTGTCAAGTTGTTCAAAAGTTGTGTTTTGATTCTAAAATTTCCTTGGTAGAAATCTTTGCCCCAAGTTAAAGCAATGAATTGGGCCTTAATTGGACCGCTACTGGGCTTAAAAATGCACAAAGTGCTATTTTTATAGCAAAAATATAATTTCGTATTTTGGGCATAACTTGAGTTATACTCATCCAATTGATGTGATTTTGGTCTCGTGGGAAAGATAAAAGAGAGGCCTACAACTTTTATGAAGATCACAATATCCAAATGTATAATCTTGGATAAGAGAAATTGGTCGCAAGATGGATCTAGGGAGATTTTCACTAAATCGTTGCTCCTCATTTATCGCTTTAAGTTCTTCTACTTTGACCATTGCTTCAATGCTCCAATTCAACTAAATTGTCCTACAAAACATAAAAAAATTCATTCACCTAACTCAATATTTTAATTTTCATGCTTTCTAGCCAAATAACTCTAAGTTTTCATGTTTTTGACTAGATATAAGCATGATTTTAGTCCTAAAAAACATGATAAACTAAGAGTTTATCAAATTATTTCCAGATTTAGAATATTGTTGTTCCCAACAATCAATTAAAGCATATGGGAAAGGAAACAGGTTCATGTGTTCAACTCCAAGATTTAGAATAAAATAAAATAATGATGTACCAAATCAAGCAAGTGTTCACAATCCATAAGTCATAGAATAATTAATAACAGGAGTTCTTAAGATAAAGATTAGGAAAATTACATCGAAACACCCCCTCACTAGGATTTTCAATTCACTCATACTCAAGTATTTGAGGGTACGTGTTTCCCTCATGCTTCACTAAATCAACACTATCATATGCTTGGTTATATTCTCACTCTCCACAGTCTTTGTCGTATACACTAGATTTTTTATTATGGTTGTAATGTAGCTTGGCTAAAAGGAAAGGAAATAAATGGGAAAAATATCTCTAAGATCGTAAGTCAGATTCAAAGATGAATGAATATAACTGCATAATACATTTAAAGCACATTTTCTTCTTCTGTTCTAACTCTTCCTCCTTTACACTTTTTCACTTATCTTTTTGTTCATACTTTTCTAGTAAGAAAATTTATTTTTCATTTTTTCAAATTTTCTATATTTTTTTTTTTACTTTTCCATTTTTCTCTTTATTTTTGTTTTTATATGTATATTTATATATTTTTTTATTTAACCATATCATATGTACTTGAATTTTTTTCCTTTTCCACCTTTACCTCTCATACATCAATAATTCAATTATGACAATTATGCTCGATTCCTCACTCTAAATCTGAAATCTAACCTAAATTGGGTGAGGGTGTGTATGTAGAGTGGCTATTCACATGTATAGGTCATCAAGGAATAAATAGTTCTTCAAAGAGGCTTAATCAAAGGGATCAACACACAGGGTGGCTATTTGACTATCTAGCTATAAAAAAGAAATTGCCTCTATTATCTCAACCAATATATCTCACAGACCATCTCAAGCAAGAAACAAAACAAGTTCTAGAATATTTTCATGTAGTGAAGTGCACATCGAATAAAAAATTATCTGTTTAGGCTCAAAAGCTCACAGTTTTGGGTGCAAGTTTAATTTACTACTCTCTATCACAATCACTTTAAGTTACTCTCCTAGTGTTCCAATGTATTGTTAAACTTACCCAAAAAGGTTCTTATCAATTCATAAAAAAATAGTAAGCACATAATTATACTCCTGATCAAGATACTAATCAGTTTTCCTATCAATTATCCATTTATGCACAATTACTAATCAAACATTATTTTTTCTTACGCTAGAATTTTTTTTCTATTCACCAAAAAAAAAAAATAATAATAAAAATGGAGATGGGACACAACAAAACTAACTCAAAAATAAAATAAAATTAACATAACATAAAAAAACAAAAAATAGAACATAAAAGAAAAGATGAGATAATTCCCTGTTTTAGCTGGATAACTCAATGCATGTTCTGAAATCCTCTCCAACCTCGCAATGTAGCAAGCAATGCCTCAGATTCCTCCATTCCCAGATTTAATATATTGCTACCATCAGCAATCAAATTAAATCTAGAACATCAGCAAAAATAAAGCTTTCTACACATACTAGGAAGAACATGATAATGAATGTCATAGAGGTTAGAAAAATTAGCTCAAAAAAATTGTCAGGGTTATATTCAACATAAACTAAAAGCTAACTAAAAGTAATAACGAAAAGCTAAAATTAAAAAAATTGAAAGCAGGAAATTATTAGGTTTCCTTCTAATAAGTGCATGTTTAACATCACAAGCTTAACGTACCTCCCTGTGATTATAGTGGTTGTAACACCCCGTCTGCAGCTGGTTAGTTAACATGCATATGGTACAATAGCGCGTCACGAATTATGAATTAAGCAGAAAACTTAACATAAGTATTACCTTTAATTATTGTAAAAATGCGGGTAAACTTTTTATTTTATCCAAATACTATTTTCTTACGTTATCTTAACGACTTAACATATTTACTATCATTGCCCGCATTGCCACGTACAATTCCTAATTCCAATTATTGTAATATGTACAGTCTCTTACCTGTACAAACTTCTTGAATAGTCTACCTATGTCTATTTTATCTATACATGTATTTGACAGATATATTCCATCCAAATATGATCTCATAGACCTTTCTGAACAGAAACCTATGCACAACATAATGGCTGTAATTCGGGTAAATTCAAATTCCTGTAATATAGAAAAATCCAAACAAAACATAAATCTACATTATCATACTTAGAATTCATCCATGAATTCACACAGAATCTGGCTCAGTGCCTGTCCTGAACACAATTAAACCTGCGAATCTTAATCTTACAACAGATCAACACATATAGCTGAAATACCTCATATACTGAACTACGACTTAAAGCCAATATGCAAATAAATTCTGAAATTCATAACTTTATAACAAATACTCAAAACAAAGGATAAAAATGCCACTCAAATGATAACAACTATCAACATGCATGGATACTACTGAGAATGAATAATTTATTGCACTTATTTATCACTCTTGATTAGTATTTTAGGAGTATTTGGAATGAAAATAATGATCTTTTGGGTTAAATTAGATTTTTGGTTGTTTATTGGATTTAATTTACTTTCGTTATTAATTTCAAACTTTACGTTACTTTAGTATTTTGACCATATCTCACTCCACAGATGTCCGATTGACTCAGTTCTTATTGCATTTTAAAGATAACTCAAAGGGCTACAAATGCCATGAAGACGAGAAAGCCGAATTCAGACAGAAAGATGGTCAAAATTAGAGCCCAAGTCAGAAATGATTTGTTGAAATTTTATTGATTTAAATTTGTAATTAGAACCCAATTCTGTTGAGTCCTAAGGCCATTGTTTTAGTTCTGATTCTGTTTATTTTTATTTTTGTACGCTAGATGATGATATTTGAATCCTCTATCATTATATATAGAGAATATTATATATTGAGTATCCATTATTATTATTTGGTGATAATCAAGATTTGGATAGCCTCCGATAAAACTTTAATTTTTTTCCCACATTGAACTTTTCATATTAAAAGTGTGTCAAGTATTGTTGCTATTGTTCTTGATATTATTTTGAATTATTTACTTCAATTTGCACTTGATCTATTTATTTGACTCCAACATTAACACCATCGTGAGAATTTGCCACTTTATGTTTTGTTACCTTCGTAATCATCATTTTGGGGCACATCAAGTCAGTGTGTACACAAAAGGAAATAAAAATTCATTATTTAGCACAAGCTCGACCTTTCTAGTGAATCATACGTTTACTCGGTCTAAATAGAGAACTACAAATGTAAGCTGAATACACTAAATCAGACCAGAGAGGAAACTGCAGAAATATAAATAAGGGTATTGGTAAAAATGCAAGAACGGAAATGAAGTTAGGAACCCACTTTAAACCATGGTAATATGTTATGAAGAAAGCACTGCTAAACGCTACCATCATGCTGATTATTGAGATAAACAGTGCCATTAGTCCAGCCATCAACTTCAAGGGAAGTGACCTGAAAAAGTCTTCCTCTGCATATCGTGATATGAGAATGGACAAGAATATCAGGATTGAGGTTGAAGATGAGATCAGTGCCATGGAATCTGATAATGCAAATATCAAGAATGATGGTTTGTCCAAATAATTGGGAGATCCTGTATTGTCATTGCTACCACCTGGTACACTGAAGGCAGCAGAAAACACTCCAGTAGCTATGAGAGTTGAAACAACCATACAAGAGTCTGCTGTTTTCTTCATCCAAGACTCTCCTTTTTTGAGCAATTCTTCATGCTCCTTTGTGAAAAGTTGGCGAGGAGTAAAGCCTTCGGAATTTTTCATCTCTATGGATGATGATGGCATTATCTTTTTCACCTCCTGCCACATCAAGGATATATGTAATGCAATAATGCCACTAATGTATAACTGCTAACTTCGTGCAGTTATGTTTAAATTAAGGAATAGAAAAAGGATCATAACTCTGTCACCATCTATATAGATAAAGTAATTCGGTTTAACATATGAAAATGGAGAAACGAATATAAGAGTTTAATGTAAAGAGTGAAAGAAAAAATATAGCCCGGAGAACATATACATGGACAATTTAGAAATTATTTCACAAATAAATATGAATTTTTAAACAGAAATAATTATGATAAATAAATATGTTAACTATGAGTGACTCAATGAGGCAGCTATTTTTTATGGGGGGAAACCTCCAAGAAACAGAAGTCAATCTAGTATAGGGGCACTCTTATCATATACATTGGAGTTATATATTTAAGTAGCGGTAGAAGACTTAGCCTTAAACATAATAATCACTTATATAATAAGTGTCTCCTTATGATTTATTAAATAATGGTATATATATATTGTGCTTGTAGTCACATTTTTTGTCTTGAAAACTAACCAATTATATTTATGAGGGTGTGGTGAGGGCAATTTACGTACATATGCCTTATCCTTGCATATTCCTTTTAGTCATAAAGGAATAATTTTATCACCACTCCAGCCTTATCCTATGTTTTTATTACTTTGTTTTTTTTTCTAACATAAAATTCTGATAAAAATAAAAATTCTAATATACCATACCTCAAACCAATGTAACTCGAGCATCATTTGAAGAGCTGCTCCAGAAACTATGTTGAGTCGATCTGGCGGTGCTAATTTTGCAACACAATGCAATAAATTGTTTTTTTCATCATCCTCGAAAGATAATACGAAATCTTTGATTGGGCCAATCTCATGTATCAGATTGAAGATACTAGCATGACGGTGCAAAGCAGCAATGTGAATTATACTTTGACCAATGGTATTCAGTTCCCATATCAAATCTGGGTAAGTGCTCATAACCACAGATAAAAACTCAAAATTTCCAACCTCTGCGGCAATAGATGTTACTTGAGAAGGCTCTCTTGTGTTTTGCATCATCTCTGAGTCATCCAATGAAAGAAATATACCCCACATGCGTTTTATAAGTTCGAGTATCGAAGCGTCCTTCGTACCTGGTTACAAACAAGTTAGTCATCTAATGGAAAAATAACAGTTGCCAACAACACTTTCTTCTGGAAAAAACGAAAGCAAAAGACGTCGTTTTTCAATAATGTTGTTTTCATCTTTTTCAGTGATGTGAAACAATCATTAAGATTATTCATGATCTAACCAAATCGATCTTGACCGAATATTTTCATTTCTTTTTGGAAATATCAAATCCGAACAAAATGTATTAACTTTGGTTTTGTTTGGTGGAATGTAAGAGTTAGAAGTCTTACCATCAATCTTGATCATTGATTCACTTGTATCCAATGGCTCACATTATTAAGAAATTTGAGTCTTTAGATATAAGTGAGATCAACGAACAAGATTGAGAGTGTAACTTACACTCGTGTAAAATGATCCTGACCCTTGTTTGGTCGTCTTATAAGAGCTCGTTTGTATTCAATTGTCAAAAAAGTTCTTTCTATGACTTCCTTATTTTAAAAGTATTTTCTATAAAAGTTAAAACTACTTAGATTTTTAAAAAATATTTGATTTTTGAAAAAATATATTTGGCTTTTGACTTCTGTTTTTTTTAGAAGTTAAAATCTTTAGCTTCTGAAAAAAGTAAAATTTTGACTTTTTTTATGACTTCTGCTTTTTTTAAAACAGGCATCCAAATAGAATTTTTTTGAGAAGTGCTTTTTTTCCTTAAAAAAAGTAGCTTTTAAAGAAAAGAAAAAAGTTCATCCAAACGAACCCTAAGCCTATTGATTCAGTTAAGATTTTGGTTTGTTTTATGCATGCGTGAGAAGTGAAGTTCCATATTTAAATGAGGATAATATAAGTGACAGAATTCATAAGCTAAAAGATTTAAGATTTTAAGTTGAGATGTGATAAAATATATATTTTACTATTTATATACTTACAGATAATTACATTTCAATATAAAAATATTGTTTGATTCAGTTTGTGGCTGATATCTATTTCATAAGATTTTTACTAGTAATGAAATTTGTGATTGATTGGATCATGGAAAGTAAAAAAGAAGAAGGTAAAGCTGCATATGGATTTTAAATAAATAAATAAAAAACTACATGGCGTTATACAAATTGGACCCCACCAAACTGAATCAATTACAATTAGTTTGGTTTGATTTCTAAATTAAGAAAAAAGTTAGAATGAATTTATTTTTAAAGCGAGTTAGTAAATTAGGTGTATTCACTTTTGAATTTTAATTAGTGGATCAAAATCATAATATACTTTAAATTAAATTAAGGGAAAAATGTTTGCTTTTTTAAATGACAAACAGTTATGTCATCTTAAGAAAGAGATAGACACAAAAAACTATTTTTTTATTTAAAATTTAAATTAAAAAAAACCACTCACTTTCTCTCCTATGATTTTCATTCCTTGTGTCTATCTCTCTCTTAAAATGACATAACTTATGTCATTTAAAATGACAAACACCAAATCCATAGATTAAATTATAAATGAATATACCTTTACTTGATAACTTTAAAAACAAATTCACTTTAAAATAGTTTATCTATCCAATCAAAACAAAACTAACTGAGTTCTGTTTTGAGTTATCATGTTTCTTATACACCAAACAACTGTAAAAGAACATGGAAAAGTTCTAAATTTTATTAATTGGACTTTAAACTTGAAAACAAAGTTATAACTCGAGAGCTTAGGTAATTCTCTAATCTAAAATTGTAAGTGTTTTATATGCTCTAAAAAAGCTATTTAGAAAATGGGAGGAGTTATATTGACAAAAAAATTTCTTACAAATCACACTAAGTCTGACTAGTAAGACTTTAATCAATAGTGTATGACTGATCAGACTTAGTGTAATTTGTAAGAAAAAAAAATTGTTAATATAATATTCCTCTTAAAAAACATACTTTCTTAATAATTAAACATATATAAATAAATAGCGTAAGAAAAAAAGAAAATCCAAATGCATTAGGTTCTCCGACTCTCTAAGAATAATCTATCATCTTTCAATCACAAGAAAACAACTTTTCCTGTATAGCATTTCATAATTAATTAGGATTGAACATTCTAACTTTATAATAAAGCATGAAAGTCCTCTCAACCAAACAAAAAACAGCAAATGAAGAAATATAAAGCAAAAACATAACTCAATGCATGACTCGATTGATATATTACACTCAGGTCCATACTTATTTTGTAATATGACAAAATATAACAAAAATAGCTTCATAAACCTATACGTATTGCTTGAAGTAACTCAAGTACCTAGCAAAATCAACTAAAATAGTGCATTTGGGGTAAAATCACGTGTAAATTCAGGTTCATAAGCTCACTAACAGAATCGAGAATTTACTATTTTATCGAAGTTTACTTGTGCAAATTAAACCAAAATAAAATTGAATGAGTTAATTAATTTTTTGTATCCTAAGATTATAAACTTGTAAAAGTTAACTGGAGAGTTTGATAACCATGCTTATTAGGTTCAAATAATGTAAAACAATAAATAATATAACTACTTGCAAAAATTCATGCCAAAAGTATATCAGTTGATAATAACATGCAACTGAAATGACACTCCAAAGTCATGATTTTCCTAAGGTTTTGTTTAGGAGTTTGGAGGGGAGGGGAGGGGAGGGAAGGGGAAGAAAAGGAATTAAAGGGAGAGGAAAGGAAAGGAAAGAAAAGGAAGGGAAATGAAAGATATTCCTTTCCATTGTTTGAGAGTTAATTTCCATTGTTTGAGAGTTAAAATCTCCCAAATTGGGGGATTTGGAGGATTTTGTGAAAATTCTCAAATCCTTTCCCTCGCTTTTTTAAACTCACAAATAAGGAAAGGGATTAATAAAACTTTTACTTTCTTTTTATTTTCCTCTAAAACTAACTTCCAAACAAGCCCTGAGCCCTAAGTGATTAGGCACTTACAGAAATGGAGGAGGCGTTTTCGATACGGTGGACTTTGGCAACTACAAACTGAAGGCTTTCGAGCCAAGACATGCAAACCTGTCTCTTCGTAATCACCCCGAGCAAAAGCCAGCCTTTCCTTCTGATTTAGCATTTCCAGTGCTAAGTCTGCAAGATAATCCAAATTATGTGCAGATTAAAAATTCTGATCACAGAATGAATAATGTGGGTGTTTATCAATGTTTGTTTTTACCTAGATTAAACTTGCTCCTACTGCTTAGTGTATTCAAGTGTACTTAGTAATATACATTGGTGTTCATAATCATACATGGACTTTAAAAGGGCTTCCAGTGCACAAGACTCTCCAACTTGCAAGCAATAAGGGTACGGAATTTTATCCTTATATTTTTTCAAAAAGATTGTTCCCCGTATTCGAATCCTTGACCTTCCGGTCACAAGGAGCAATTTTATTGCTACTTCAAGGCTCGTACATAAAGGGAAGGGTTGTGTTCAAGAGAAAAAAAAAAAAGACAATTTTTCAAAATCATTAACCAAACAATAAATTATTTAGATTTTCATCATCCACTCATTGTTTCTATGTTTAAAATCCAAATTCCAATTTGGAACAAGGATCATCTTTTACCTCTCCTGACTAATATGAGAGTAGAAATGAATTGATTTTTCCATAACAAATGCTTCAGAGGTTATCTATGCTATATGCTTACCATAGAGTCCAGAGTTTATACAAATGTGGAAGAGTTGATCCCAATCCACTTCTTCTAGTATTTCTCTAGATTTAGGGAATAGATACCATGCCATTTCACTTCTTCGTTGTAAAACAGCCAAGTGAAGAGGAGTTACTCCCTGTCCACCCCTTATTGTTGGCAACAATTCATTCTTTTCTCGCATTATCTCAGCAATGTGCACATTCCCAACTGCTGCAGCAAAACAGAAAGCAGTGTTCCCCAATTCATCTTGCAATTCCAAATCATCACGATCCATTAGTTTTAAGAGCTCCTCCACAAAGTGAACATGATTTGCTCCCACTGCAACATGGAGTACTGTTCCCCATCCCTTTGTTATGGCACTTGTCAGAAGCGCTGGATCATGTTCTATTATCTTCATAGCTTCTTTCCAGTCACCTTTTAATGCTGCTTTGTGAAGGGGAACACATTCCGTGAGGTATCTATGTCTTTCTTCTGCAACAAGTTAATTGAGGGAAATCATTATAGGGGGTAAACCTTTTATAGAATCCTATTCCTATATGAATTTTGGAGTTAATAACGCGACTAATGCATCTTAGCGGGAATTATCATCAAAGTGCTAAGCTATAACAACCTTAGCAAGTGAGTTCAATATATGTCTTAATCCAAAATCTTAAGGCATTGAGTATATTTACTTATATGATTTTCACTAGACTATTAATAATCAACGTGAGACTCCATCACCCTTTAATATTCTAACAATACACAAGGGATGAAATCATTGATTTTTTATTTTATTTTTTAATCTCAGATAATGCAACTACAGTTTAAAAAATTGACATTTTGTTAAAAAAATTAATAAATTGGTAAGATTTTAAGAAGGGACAGAGAGCTTACGAGTGGACAGTCGATGAAGGAGAGGCCTCCTAAACTGCGCTGAAGCAACCCTTTGCAACTGTTGTTGGACAAATGTTGAGTCTGTTGCAGCCATTTCACTACAAAGAAAACATACATTATTATATCTTTTCAATAATTAAGTCAAATAATACTACTTTAATACATGTATTCACTAAAAGCAGGGGAAAAAAATAAAACATGTATTCGTTTTTAGTGTCTATAATAATAAGAATATCCAATAATAACTGAAAAGTGATATAATTTCATGGAAAGCGAATGAAAGTAATATGTATATGTAAAAATTATTGAATTTCTTTTGATAAGGCATTATTTGATCAAAATATAGAATAAACGCAAGATATGAATGTAATTCGAGAGGTAAAATAGAATTATAGAAATGCCTACAAACTTGGCAACTTTATTCTTGTTTTGCAACAAAAATACTCTTTTTTTTTCCTCGGTCACGAACAATAACAATATTCGGGTTTAATATTTTTCATATTATAAAAAATAAAATTATCTCTTATAAAAAATAAAATCATCTCTTGCAAAACATAAAAATGTACGGAATATATATAGTGTCATATGAGGAGAAAAAAAAAGAAAAAAGAAAATATAAATCTCCATATATTTATCTGTGTACAATAAATAAAAATTATCTCATAAAATTAAACCATAATCTTCAAACATGATCACTATATGAATTATTGATAGCTTTGACTGGCCTAACCCATGCGAATCACAAAACTTAAGTTAGAAGCCCAAGTCCTAGTCCTAAACACAATAAAGTCCAAAATTTTGGTCCGGGCCTAATCTTTAAAGTACTGTAAAAATTAGAGAAAAAATAGTATTGAATAATGTTTTTTTAAACTTACATGCTTATCATCTCGAACTTGTATTGATTATAAACGATCCTCCCAAAACTTGCTCACCTATCCTGGGATAATATCAGCTCACATGTGATGAAGACATATAATATAAGATATGCATAAAATATTAATCTTTTGCAGTTACTTATGACCTATCCTCATATAATTAATATCCTTTCACATACCAATAATAACAATAATAATAATATACTGTCGGCAAAACAAGAAGACCTCACAACAGGATGGGTTGCAACGAAAAAAAAAAACAAAAAATGAAAGGCTAAGGAGAACAGAGTGAAAGAAGATTATTCACAACAAGAACTACAATAAAATAAAAAGGAGAGAAGAAAGGGAGGAAGAGAAAGAAGGAAAAGTAAGAGTGAAAGAAGCAAGGAAGCAGCAATAAGATTGGATTACCTCAACCGAGAGAAATTCAGAAATTTTCAATGTTTCCTCTTAGCTCTGCAGCGTGATTGGTTTGTTTCCAAATTGCCAAATTCACAGTAGAGAAGTCTTTGCTTTAACAGTCCAAGTGAATGTACTATAAATTGCCAAACCGAATACCATTTTTGTGGTGTTTGTGAAGTCAATGGTAAACGATTAAACTAGTACGTCTATACAATAATTGCAAACCAAAAAAGAAAAAGTTAAAAGTGCACCAATTACTGATAGAAAGTAATTACCGAACTATATGAATTGTTTAATTACCTTCATTTGTATACCGTTTAAAAACCGTATCCTACAAATTAAAGCGCTATGCTATGTTAAAAGCTTACTATTTTGAATGTAAATTACTTACGGCAATTTTCCATTCATCTAACTTTTATGTGTCTTTATATATAATACAGAAGCGTATATCATGTTAAAAATAAAAAATAAGTATTTTTTGCACAACCAATCCTTTCTGTGTTCAATTTACGTAAACTCAGAAATAGTTTTTAGGAAACTACTTAATGTAATACATTAAATTGAAATTTTTGTCAAGCATAATACATTCAAAAACAAAATAAGAATTTTATTAAAATTCAGATTAGAACCACGAGTAAAAAAAAATGCTTAAAAGATTAAGGTTTCATTATATTAATATTTTAAAGATATATTTCATTAAATTAAGCTTTCAAATATTATGTTATCATTACAATAGTCTTGCAAGAAAAATTTGTTACTCAATTTTTCTTTACAAATTTAAAATGCCATTATTCATTTTTATAAAAGATCGAAATTATGATAAAAATATTAATAATTCTTTTATATCTTTCCAAGAATATTTTGATGATAAATTTTTTAATAAAAAGTTAATGTAATAATAATAACTAATATTTAGTGAACTAATTTAGGAGATTATTTTCTCAAGTGGCAGTATGTTTTTACACTGGTGTAAGAGTTAGAAATCTTACACTCAATCTTGACCATTGATCCACTTGTATCTAATGGCTCATATTATTAAAAAAATTGAACCTTTAAATATAAGTGGAATTAACGGACAAGATTAAAAGTGTAACTTACACTGCTATAAAATGATCCTGAACATTTTCTCAATGTGCATATCCATTAAGAAGTTTAGAAAAATAAATAAATTAGAAACGAGTTTACTGTTTGAGTGGATGGAACATGATTATTGTCACTAGGTTTGGTATGTGGAAATTTATAATCAGCAAACAAAATGTGGACACGTGTCACGGGGACCAATATCTAGGAATCTAGGAACAGTATCAGCCAGTCAGATTAAGACCGACCGAGTACTAGCAGTCGACACAATTAATAATGAAAGCACGAAGGTCACAAGAAGTTGCGGTATAGCCGGGCTCAATGTTATGAACACCGAACCAGTTCGGTCGGTCGGATCGGTTAACCCCAGAATTAAACTCTCAACTGGTTTGATCCAACTAAAAAAATTCCCTGTACATTTGAACCGGTGTAAAATTGGACCAGTTTGATGGTTGGACCAGTTTTGGAGTTTTATGACGAAGGGAATGAGACAATACAATCAGTCAACAACCATTATGCCACTTATCCTTTTATGATATTTTATTATTATTATTATTATTATATTTATTACATACTTCTATAAATCTAAATTAAATGATTCAATTAGTGAGTTATTGGTTAGAACAACAACTCACTAATTCAATATTCCAACTAAATTGATAACCGGTCCAATTTTTATAACATTGATCAATGCTATTTTTTTATGTAATGTGCATAAATTACAGGGCTTTATATATATAATGTTACAGAAAAGTAAACGCGGTCCTGCAAGTGATAACGACATCGTTTTATTTACTTGCTTCTGTTTATTTACTTGCTTTCCTTTTTATTTGTTTCTGAAAAGAGTTAAAAGGTGAATGCAGAGTGGAATTTGGTGGGAATGGAAGGAAGTGAGAGTGAAGCATTTTTGGATTCGCATAATCTAAGACCGCAACTCTTCCTTAACGAAGTTCCCAACACCTTTGACGATGTCGTCAACGGAGCTTGATTTCTTCTACCTGTAACACTAATCACCCCCTTTCGCCTCTTCTTTTTCTTCTTTTTAAATTCCATTACTTAGTGTTCGTAACTTTCCTTTCTTCTTCTTTTTATTTACTTGCTTCCCTTTATTTTTTTTCCTTTCTTATTTACGCAGGAAGACAAGCCACAGTTTCTCGCGCTCCACCGTGTAGCACCACCACACCCCCACAACTAGAAAATCTTATGATCTTGCAAAGTCTCAATGTAAGTTCATCACTGAATCTCATTTTTTTATTGGGTGTCCTGCATTTAGTGAGTTGAGGCTGAAATAAATTTTGTAATCACCACATAAGGGTCATGGAAGCGAAACCAGATTAAGAGCTTGCTGATGAAGAGGTGGAGAGCTTAAACAAACGGTAAGATTTATTGTGCCCTCTTCGTGTAAAATCAATCAACTCCTTGATACATTTTTTATTATTTTTTAAACCATGGTAGTCATTCATTGCTGATTAGCCTGGTTACAATGAAGCTGTTGTACCATTTTATTTTATTTTACCTTGAGATTATTTTTCGTTTTTTTCTTTCTTTTTGAAACCTATAATTTTCAAAGTCCTTAATTTATGGTGATTCTTGATATTTCGTTTTGTTCTCTCATTCTCATTTTTTTTTCACAATTCAATCAAAATCTGTGTGTGTAATGTTTTTAGTTTTTTATCTTTGGGCTAACGGAAAAAAAAATTAGTTCCCTTTTTCTATGATATGCTCTTTAATGGTCCTTGCTTATCTATACCATAGTGAATAATAGGTCAAATGGACAGCTGAGTTGTTGAACTTGGATGAATTACTCTAACATTATACCATGCTTCCTTGCTTGTTCTCTTACTTGTTCTTACTGATTTTTGTCTTTCGGAAACATAGCTGATTTCAAATTTTAGATAATTTAGTAGTCAAATTAGATACTTTAGTGTTTGTCAATTACATGTTATGCATACCTACAACAAAAGTATAGAATTTACAATTTTTCATGCATCAAATTCAAGGTAACTCTTGATCTATAATTCTTTGCAGATTTAAAATTTTTCTTCATGATGGATCACTCTCAAATTGTAACTATTGAAGATATTGACATGAGTGAAAGTTTAGTATGTGTAGATGATATTGTTGATTTAGAAAAAGACGCGGATGAATTTGGAGAAGATGATCTTAGTGAAATCATGGCAAACAAAGATGGTGAATGTGGGGAAGACAATGCACATGCAATTACGGGAGATGTTGTACCGAATTAAGCAAGGCCCCTATTTTAACTAGAGTTTTTGAGACATCAGAAGAAGCTTATGCATTTTATAATGCTTACGCAAAAGGCAGGGGGTTTGGAATACGCAAGCAATACCATAATAAGAGGTTAATTACAAAACAAATATATAGGTGGAATTATGTGTGCTCGAAGCAAGGTGTCAAGAGACAACATGATAAAAGAGCTGATGTTGACAACGTCAAAAGGCAAAAGGATACAAGGACTAATTGTATGGCAATATTACAAGTAAAGTTGGTGGATGGCCTATGAAAAGTGGAGAAGTTCAATGATATACACAATCATCCATTGATTAACACTCCAACAAAGGTGAAGAAGTTTCTTTCTCAGAATGAATTGAGACGCTCGGACTTGACAAAATCTATTGTTTCTAAGCTTTATCAAGAGGGTTTAACATCTTCGAAAATCTCAAAGGTTGTGAGCGCTATGAACAAAGAGGTTAATCTTACTCTCGTTCAAATCAATAGTATTATATCTAGCCAGCGAAAGAATAATGTGGGACGAGAATGTCAGGGCATCATCAAACACTTTCAAAACAAGTCCATGGTTGATGGAGCTTTTTATTTTGATATGGATTTGGCAGAAGATGGAACTTTAAGAAGCGTATTCTGGGCAGATGGTAGGTCAAGAGCTGCATATGCTCATTTTGGTGAAGTCCTTGTCTTTGATGTGACTTACAGAACAAACAAGTTCAAGTTTCCTTTTGCTCCTTTTGTGGGGTTAATCACCATGGGCAGACTATTTTATTTGCTGCCGCTTTGTTAGAAGATGAAACGGAGGCAACATTTATGTGGTTATTTGAACAATTTCAGACGTGTATGTTTGACAAGTCTCTTGTTGCTATTATCACTGATCAAGATAAAGCTAGGGGAAAAGCAATTGCCAAGATATTTCCAGGAGCACGACATCGTTTTTGTGCTTGGCATATAAAGAAACATGTTATGGAGCATAGTCAAGCACTACGTGCACAATTTAAGGATAGTTTTGATGTTGTCTTCCGTGCGTGGTATAAAAGTCGAAACATTGATGAGTTTGAAGGCAAATGGGAAGTATTGAATTCTAAATATGATATTAAAAAAAATAGTTGGTTGGCTAACATGTATGCTTCACGTCATCATTGGGCAAAGCCATACTTGAAAGATACGTTTTTTGCCGGAATGACCACAAGTGGCCGAAGTGAGAGCATCAATGCATTTTTTGATGGATATGTTAACTCTAACACAATGTTAAATTATTTTTTATTCAATATGACAAAGCAATCAAATCTAGGAGGGATGCGGAGGAAGATGAGGATTTCAAAACTAGAAATACAAAAGCAGTTTTGGAGACCAATCATCCTATTGAAGCACTAGCTGGAGAACGGTACACAAGAAAATTGTTTGAAATTTTCAAAAAAGAGTGGAAGGCTGCCATACTTGATTATTTTCATGAAAAGATTGCAACAGAGGAAAACCTTATCATGTATCGGGTGGGGTCTCCTGAAGTTGATAAAGAATGGTGGGCAATTGTCAAGTTCCATTTGACAGAAAGCCTCACAGTTCAATGTTCGTGTGCAAAGTTTGAGACTATTGGGATTTTGTGTAAACATATTCTATACATTATGAAGA